TGCAGTCTCTCTGAGGCCTGGAATCTATGTACATCACCAGATGATGGGTTTCTTCACTGATGATGCTGTGCCAGGCCTTTACTGCAGCTGACATCACTTCATGCTAGTTCCTGGCATTTTGCCTTCAGTTTTTGGACAGGACTGAGGACAGGTGACTGACTTGGTCATTGCAGAACATTCTACTTAACAACAAGAAAGTTACTCCAGATGCCAGGCACTGTACTTGAACATCTGACCTGATATATAAAAGTTTCTAAGCTCTAGTAGAAAACGGCAAATTTTTTTCTAAAAGTCATTTATGTTCCCTATACAGCAGTTTCATATGAAAGATCTGACACTTCTCTGGGTCACATTATTATAAAATTAGTTTTTTTTTTTGTTTTTTTTTTTTTTTAGAGATTTGAATAAAAAACAAAGCAAAACACCCTGTTGCATTAAGGACGCTAATAACACTTTTTTTTTATGCTATACACAAAAAAGGGGAAAAACCCCTTTGGGGAATTGGAGCCTGTTGAACAAAAACCATTGCTTAATTATAAAGTATATTTTTGGCTAACAAAAAATTTATCTCTTAAAAATAGATATTAATGACAAAATCACACAGATCTCTCTAGAACTTTATTTGCAAGTAGACTTTTCATAGATTAGACAAACATGTTTCAGTTGTATTTATTTATTTATTTATTTATTTAAAATATTAGAATAAAAATGAAGATCACATGACATGCTTACACATTGTTCGGTCATTGTAAGTTGTCCTTAACATTTTACACAGAAAGATAAGGAATAATAATAATTTCTCTTTGAACCTTAATAATGATATATGAAGAGATCATCAGGCTACAGTAGGAGCTACAACTAGTAAAGGGATGATTCAAAAAATCTGAAACATTAACTGCATTAATATTAGAGATACACACAGTATAAATATCATGACTAAAATCCCACCTCGATACATGCTCATTTAACCTTAAATGATTCTACTGATTCATTTATCCCTTCATTATTACTGTTTTTAAATCTTGACATCATTACAAGACAAAATATAACACGTCTTTTTGTATAAAAGTGGATCTGCATATAAAAGGAATTCAAAGCCAAACCAAAGTTTCATAGCAAACGAGAAGGTTTAAACTGAGGATCTGAGGATTATCCAGCTTCTCAGTCACTAGCTCTACTGAAGAAATGCTCTCATTCTACTCCCCTTTGTCATATTTATCTAGAACAACTTTGATGAGTTAAAGATTACTTTAAATTGTTAGAAGTTTCAGAGATTGTGATGTTTCTGTCCTGTGGTGTTTAAAAGGTCAGTTTTTACTGTTACTGTCTAGTTGATCGATAAGATCTTCAGAGGCCGAGATGGGGAGTGGTTATAGAAAAATGGAAACACTCTCTCAGTAAACGTATGTGTTATAGTGTGCAAGCATGTATTGGTTAGAAGATCAGTAAATGTTATTTTTCTCTTGTCCCAGTTCAGATGCACTCTGATCCTCTGTGGTTTGGCTTTAGCTTTGAAAATGTGACTGGCCTGTTCCGGGCAGAGCATGTGGTAATTTCCATTATTGTAGCTCATGCTGCAACTACGTTACAGAAGGAATTCTTCTTTCTCGGAGCGAACTCTCTAATCACACCCAGTTCCCAGATATTACTGTCCCCAACCTCGACGTCCCAGCAGTGCGACCCTGAGTTAAAGCCCTCACAGCCCAGGACGCATGTACCACCATCGAATCTCTCCGGATTATCAGGAAGCAGTAATTCCTCTTTTCTGTGTTCCACAGTCGTGAGATCGTCGGACACACAGAGCTGTGAATGTGCAGTGTTGGGGTCCAGAGTAACAGAAGCTGAGAAGAATAAAAAACAATATAAAATACATGCGTGATTTTATAACTGGTGCAAGTCTACAAGTTACTCTTTTTAGTTGATTTTGAGTTGGTCGAGCACAAATAAAATATCTAAATCAAACAACAACAACAACAAAAACACTTACTGTACTCGATGACTTGCTTCATACTCTCCCAGACTCTGAACTTCAGGTTAGAAATGTGTTTAGAAACATTGATCAGCATATTTGTCTCCATCTCTGGATGCTTTATTGTGCAATGAGCTCTGAGAATATGAGAGGATGATAATACATTTCTGTATGATAATGTCTTACAGAGATATTGTTCAATATCAGTCTCTCTCTCTCTCTCTCTCTCTCTCTCTCTGTCATGGAAAATTTCTATTAAATGCAAACATGACAACAAAGATATCATAAAACAAGAAACACTTACTGTTTCACTTTGATCTCGACCTCCTAAGGAAGAAATTAAGACAGCTGCAGATTATTATTCATATAAACATACATCTTTTTTAGTGTTATGTTTCTCGCTGATATTTTAGCAGATATATCTCAGAACAAAAGGTGTAATGTAAACATAAAAGGAACAAAAAAACATGGAAAATTAAAATAAAGTTAGTTAGGGGTAGAGTTACAGGATTTATGCATTACACGTACAGTGAGGGAAAAAAGTATTTGATCCCCTGCTGATTTTGTACATTTGCTCACTGACAAAGAAATGATCAGTCTATAATTTTAATGGTAGGTTTATTTGAACAGTGAGAGACAGAATAACAACAAGAAAATCCAGAAAAACGCATGTCAAAAATGTTATAAATTGATTTGCATAATGAGGGAAATAAGTATTTGACCAGTCTCCAAAACATGACTTAATACTTGGTGGCAAAACCCTTGTTGGCATCACAGAGGTCAGACGTTTCTTGTAGTTGGCCACCAGGTTTGCACACATCTCAGGAGGGATTTTGTCCCAGTCCTCTTTGCAGATCTTCTCCAAGTCATTAAGGTTTCGAGGCTGACGTTTGGCAACTCGAACCTTCAGCTCCCTTCGCAGATTTTTATGGGATTAAGGTCTGGAGACTGGCTAGGCCACTCCAGGACCTTAATGTGCTTCTTCTTGAGCAACTCCCTGCTGCCTTGGCCGTGTGTTTTGGGTCATTGTCATGCTGGAATACCCATCCCATTTCAATGCCCTGGCTGAGGGAAGGAGGTTCTCACCCAAGATTTGCGGATGGTCCATGTCATGCCTGTGTGAAGTTGTCCTTGATTTCAGTCCTTCCGGCGTGAGTGATGTTACCAATTGTTTTCTTGGTAACTATGATAAAAGGGTGGTTTTTTGGAAAAAAAACAGCATGTGTAGTACGTGCTGATTCTTCCATGATACCGCCACCAGGTGAGATCTGCATGGACGCTGAGGAATTTTTGTTTGTTTTCTTCCATTTGCCAATGCAACTGTTTTCACTTTCTTATCTAAACTTTTTTTTTGTTTTTTTCTTTTTTTGTTTTTTTTTTGGGGTTTTTTTTTTTTTTGGTTTTTGAATCGTTGATTGATTGTTGGACATGTATTTTATAGTTAAAATTAAAATTTTGACGATAAATTCTTTTACATCCTTAAAATTTTCTATTTTAGGGCTATTTATATTGACTGGATTCTGCCCGGGAAAATCAGTGTCACGAACTTACTGCTCAACGTAACTATCGAGCTCTTAGTTTTTGGATTTATATCTAAATAAATAGTAAGGCCAATATTTCATGAAACAAATACTTCACCCTTCCTAAAAAGCCAGCCCCCTACCAGAAGCCATGAAAAGTGAATTTAGGAGAAAATCAGGGAACTACCATGAACTTCCCTACAGGTTTTAATACTCCTGATATTGGTCTTATTTAGTTTTTCAGGTGAGTAGGGCTGTAGTCAAGATCACTGTTATGAAGTACAATACCATGAGCAAGATGAGACATGAAATCAAGATAGAGACTCTAAACCATCAAATCCTTTTATTTAGGCATTTAATTCAACTAGCTCATTTGTGTATTGTGCCAGTGACTGTTTTTAAAATCTCTCAGACCAAGAACATATCTAGTGAAACCAATATCCAAGACAAACAGAAGTCCAAGTCAACACAGAAAAGGTCTCAAGACTGTTCTACAGCCCTGTGTGTGAGATACAGAGCCCAGATCCTCACCTTTAAGAATGCTACATCCTCAATGCCCATGTCCTTCTCTGTTGTCCTGATTATGTCTTGATAACGGGCTATTTCGTGATTCATCTCTTCAAGCTTTCTCTTTATCATCTGACTCTTTTGCTCCTCTTCCTGCTTCAGTGCAGCTATCCTTGCTGCTTCTTCGTCTCTTAGAAACTTATGAAGCTTCTCAAACTCCTTCTTCATCTGTCTTTCTGTGCACTGGGCTTGACTCTGTAACAGGACAGATGGGGGAATAATTACTGCTGATGTTGTGCAAAAGTATTTTCTGCACAATATGGTTTCCTTGACGATTGTGGTATCAACACAGTATCTATAGTTAACATTAATAATGTTTGTCTTAACAAAATACACATGCACTGACTGTTTATTCAGCATACAACTAAATAATTCCACACTAATTAATAAAAAAAAGCACATTATAGCATTTTACTAAGTGTTGAGAATTATCTGAACTCCACTTCTGTATTTTGTTCATTAATAACTAGGTATATAAGACAATGTAATCTGTTTGGGGCTCCAAATACTTGTCATATATATGACAGGTATATACTCAAAATTAAATTCAATGTGACTTACCTTAATGTGTGAAGCTGCTCTGTTGTAATTTTCTTTAGCAATTTTCCAGAGGGTCTGGCTATTTTGTAGAGGCTCCAAATTAGTCCTGAGTTGTTCCTGGAGAGGAAACATTTTATCACAAAACTGACATCCATCTATCCATTCATCCATCTTCTATACCACTTATCCTACAGGGTTGTAGGGAGCCTGGAGCCTACCCCAGGGGGCACAGGGCACAAGGCAGGGTACACCTGGACAGGGTGCCAATCCATTGCAGGACACAATCACACACACATTCATACACTATGGACACACCAGACTACCATGCATGTCTTTGGACTGTGGAGGAAATTGGAGTAACCAGAGGAAACCTCCACTGCACAGGGAGAACATGCAAACTCCGTACACACAGGCAGGAATTGAACCCCCAACCCCGGAGGCGTGAGGCGAATGTTCTAACCACTAAACCACAGTGTGCCCAAAAATGATGTACAGTAAGTTAATAACAGTAAGTGAATATCGAAAGATAACATTTTTATTATTTCTCATGCATCTCAAAACAGTCCAACTTCTTGTAGATAACAATCACTGTTTATGATGACCTAATTGAATGTATGGACTTTGCTCTTAGGAGTTAGTGCATGCAAAGTATAATAAATATAAAAGGTTTCCCAAAAGTCTCCATATACAGGAGACATTTCTAAACACTTTCAGCACAAAAATTTTATTTTACTATATATATATATTTTTTTTTTTTTTTTTTTTTTTTTTTTTTTTTTTTTTTTTTTTTTTTTTTTTTTTTTTTTTTTTTTTTATATTATATATATATATATATATATATATATATATCACGACAGCCTTTAAGAATGCCTTTGAAGAAAAGCAGAGTGTATTGAAATCATTCTCACGGCTTGATCAGGAAGCTGTCGCGGTGGACTTTAACAGGGAACGTGGCAAGGACATCACACATAATCTCTTGCCAAAGTTATTGCAAAATTCAAGGAGACTGGAAGACTGGAAGATGCTACGATCGACCGAGAAGAAGTGGACGTCCACCAACATCCGGCATGGCCCTGTCAAATATACAGTAGTCCCCTATGTAGAGACTTTTGGGACAACCTGTAGATTAAAACTCTGCTGTTCTTAGAGAATAATCAATGAAAGTGTGGTGTGATGAAGCACAGATACTGTTCCTACTCTGGAGCTGATTATCTTCCTTATTATATCCGCATGTCCCGAAAGTGTTTTATTCTTCTTCATAAGCAATTTGACAGCTATTAATATACAGTATTACTTAAAACACAACAAATCACACTTTTCATGTTCTCACTTACATTTATCGCCACTATTAACAGGCATACAATAAAAGCCATACCTTAACGTCATTCAGAATTTCATCTATAGGGCAGAACTCGTGATTTTTATGTTTCTTTGAAGTTTGACACACCACACACACAGGCTGCTGATCCTCCAGACAGAATAACTTGAGTTTCTCGTTGTGCAGCTTGCAGAGGCCGTCAGATGCCACTGAAGGTGTGTGACGAAGGGTCTCCGAGAATGATTCGACAGAGGTTCTTTAGCGCCAGGTTCAGAGGAGGATCCAGGTTAGAGGATATTCTCTTACAGACTGGACATTCTAGAAATCCTTTGGCTTCGCAGCACCCCTTCATACAAGTTTTACACAAGCTGTGGCTACATGAAAGTAGAACAGGATTTCTGTAAATGTCATGACAAACAGGACATAAAAATTCTTTTTCCGACAAATGGTCCCTTCCAGCCATTTCCTCAAACTGCTTCTGTGTTGAGTTTCAAAACTTCAGTCCAAACTTAGTTTCAATTTTATTGATCCAAGCAGCTCAGCAAAAAACCCCAAACACGCACTGTAATCAATCCTTTATTCCATTTTATCCCAAGTAGTGGGAGAGTTTGAAAATTAGATATATTTAAAACAAAACAAAAAAAACCTAAGAACATACAGCTGTCGAGTATATTTGTGGTGTTGATTTGTCTGTCAGCGGATTTTATGCACAGTTCATCAGGTCAAAGTTACAGTATAACTTAAGGGCCATAAACTAAGAGGTGGCATCAGGCAGATGTAGATAACTGCTTTCTCCACCAGAGGGAATCAGTGCATTAATAACTACCTGCACAGATACATTTTACAGTAATACAACCAGGAACTGAAATGGACTTAATTAGGATTTTACAGTACCGTATGGCATGCATCTACACAAAATAATAAATGATATTGAAGTGAGTGGAAAGGATTCAGGTTCAAAATGATTTATAATTAAAAATGGTGAAAGATTTGATCAGAACACTTAATGTCCTTCAATCTGACTCACTCCAGGTAATGAATAATGGCACATTATCTTTCCATGTTTACCCTTTTTTATCTCTAGTCTTTCCCACGTACTGCTGTTGGAAAATGGCACTGAATTTTTCTGAACCTTGCTGCCAAAAAAACAACAACTCAAAGCCACATAATAAAGGTGATATGGCCATATCTCAGGCTTTGTGTTTGTGTTTGGCTCAGATTCCAAAATCTGTAAAAATTTTGATTGTAGCTGACATACAGTTGGGCCACATTTGTTATTGTCATAACCTGAGCCTGGCTGCAAAGATGCAATGCTTCATGAAACTATGGATATGAAATAATGTTTACCTTTTATTTGTTTTTCATGAAATCACAATCAGTTATACAGTTAAGTTTAGCACTGTTAGACTGACAAAAGATTAAAATGGCTCCTTGTAGACCCATAGTGTTAATCATCATCGGTCATTTTACGGACATTTGTAACTTTTAAATGAAAGATATATCCAAAAAAACGTCTCAGTAGAAAATGATGGAGGAAAGCAGAGGGATGAGCATGACAAGGAAACTCAGTGTGTTGCTCTCAGCTATGTTACACAGATACCCCTCACAACACTGCACATCTGTAGCTATACCTAATCCCATCAAATTCCGGACTGGAGCCGAGTCACAAACACTTTTGGTTGCACATCCTTCCATAGATGTTGTAAATCCAAATGCACTAACTGAGAGAGAGAGAGAGAGAGAGAGAGAGAGAGAGAGAGAGAGAGAGAGAGAGAGAGAGAGAGAGAGAGAGAGAGAGAGAGAGAGAGACAGAGAGAAGAGAGAGAGACAGAGATTAAATTTATGAGAACAAGAAAGGAACTAACAAGAGTTTATAGCTGCTATAACATAAGTAAAAACAGGAGGTAGCTTGTTTCACAATCATTAAATGTGACTAAACAGATCAAATTTGTTTATAAATTTGTGGTATAACCACATTGTCTTTTAACCTGTACTTGAGTGAATATTATACTGTGTGTCTGGAATTTTTGTGTTTATTTTGTGTGTAAGTTGTATTACCTGTTATATTAATGCAACGATCTTCATTTCCTACACAATCCACAGTTTCTGTGAGAAATCAGCATAAGAACATGTATTAGCTACTCAAAGACCTGCTGAGCCCATATTATGTTTGAGAGAAAGGCATACAATGGTGCTTGAAAGTTTGTGAACCCTTTAGAATTTTCTATATTTCAGCATAAATATGGCGTAAAACTTCATCCGATTTTCTAAAAGTAGGCAAAGAGAACACAGTTAAACAAACGAAACTAAAATATTATACTTAGTCACTTATTTATTGAAGAAAATGATCCAATATTACATATCTGTGTGAAACGAAAGCGTGTGAACGTCTAGGATTAGCATTTTAATGTGAAGGTGAAATTACAGTCAGGTGTGCCCTGTTTTAATTAAAGATCAGGGATCCATTAGAGATCAGAGTTTGACCTTGTTTGTGGAAGTGTATCATGTCACGAACAACGGAAAATTCTGAGGACCTCAGAAAAAGAGTTGTTGAAGCTCATCAGATTGGAAAAGGTCACAAATCCATCTCTAAATTGTTTGGAGTCCACCATTCTAGTCACCCAGCTTGTGTACAAATGGAGGAAATTCCTCTCCCCTTGTTGTTTGACCAATAAAGATCTCTCCAAGAGCCAGGCGTGCAATAGTCCATGAGGTCATAAAGGAACCCAGTGTAACTCCTAAACAACTAAAGGCCTCTCTCACATAAGCTAATATTAATGTTCATAATTGCTGCAGTTATTGCTGCTGATACTGAAAGCAAAGGTTCACATACTTTTCCACTCACAGATATGCAATATTGGATCATTTTCCTCAATAAATAAACATCTTATTTGTTTAACTTGTTTCTCTTTATCTATGTTTAGGACTTGTGTGAAAATCTGATGCTGTTTTAGGTCGCATTTATGCAAAAATATAAAACATTCTACAAACTTTCAAGCGCCACTGTACATATAGTTCCAGGAATGTTTAATGTCGTCACTCACTATTTTCACCTAATGTGTTGATGCAGTCACGTCCCTGACAACCCTCGCTACATGTCTCTCCAGCGCAAGCGTAACACTTCTGTCCATTGGGGGGCTGATTCGTTATAGCTGAACACATAACCAAACAAATAGATGATTTTCAGTTTCATTCTCCTGTCATATTCCAAATTTTTATATGAAACTGAAACATACCTGATTTTCCTGCCTGCACATTTACATTATTTTTAACTTTATAAATAATGTATTTAACATTATTAATTATTATGCCATGCTACTATACATACTGATTAAAAAAAAATAATAATAAAAGAATGGAATATTTTGGGAAACGCGCTCAAGTTTTCACAAGTGATTAAAAACAGTTCTGTGCAAACTGTTAAACTGAAACTGTTAAATACTAAGACATTTTCCCTGCCTACTATCTTAAAGTGTTCTTCACTTGTCTTTCTCTGAGAACTGTAAATGTTAAATGTTTTATGTAGAACCCTACAGCAGTGATTTCCTATAAGAAATAATTCCAGGAATGTAGAAGCTAGGGACCTTTAATGAACCCGTAACAATCCCCTAAGAAGAATTGTTGTTGTTTGGTTAAATTGTGATTGGTCAGAAGGTGTTGATTGATTTTCCATAACAGCTACTCTGGTGGTAGTGCAGCTGCAAATCAGGCGCTTAAAATTTTTTTTAATCATTTCTATAGTAACAACGCATTCTTATGGACTTCTGAATGCATATGTACTGTAAAAATGGGAAAAATTCAGCAATTCAGTGTTCTTCTTCCTATTATATTCTCTTGGTTCTACCTGGCGGAGTTTCTTCGTTGCAGAGGTCAGTAGTGCAGCACTCCGTATTGACGATGCTCATCAGATCTGCTAGGTTTACACTCCCGTTGACGCACTGTGTCGCTGTCATGCAAGACTTCGTACTGATGTTCTTCATCGTACCACCTGCAGAAGACAGCTTAATAAAGATCACATTTCTCAAGCAAACTCTAGAGAAGCGGATTTGATTGTTTCTTTGTGATGATTTCTTCTTACCTATGTTCATGGTTAAGGTCATGCTGCCGCACTGATCTGGACAATCCATCACCGTGTTTTCACAATTTCCTGAAGGACCAG